AAATCATTATGTTAATAATTTGGATTGTCTTTATAGTTTAGATTACACGTTGTTCTATCTAATTGATTTTTAAAACGTTCAATATGATTAGCAGATTTTGGTACAACAGTGATGTGTTTTTTTGTCACCTGCTTGAGCTGATACGGAAATGTAATCAACTGGCCACAATGATCACTATCTAGTTTATTAATAATTTGTTTTTTCTGTGGTACGATATCTGTATATATATTATCAATACAAGTGGCCGAAGTGCTAGCTATTCTAGTAGGCTCAATGAATAAGTTTTTCAGATTGTATGATTGAAAAAATTTTTTTTTTAGATTGCCTCTATTTCCTATAAATAACAACAAGGTGTGGCATTTACTGTAGCTATGATTACTTGCCTTTCCTAAAATATCCTTATAAGAGGTACCAGGCATACAGTAATTTGTGATTGAATGTCCCATTCTAGATAAAGAGGGCCCATATTCTTCCCAATTTCATCAGTAAACATTATAATATGATTACTTTTACTACCTAAAGATGCATTTCTTGAGTGGGTTTCTTTCACCGGTGTCAAGTGTGTACCTATTGGCTGATGTTGGGAATCAAAAGATACAGACTTCTGTTGCAAAGTGGAGGAGTCAAAATTGAGCGTTGATTGAGTTCCCAACTGTTTACAAGCACATATGTGATTGTTAGTTAATGAGTTAAATCTTTCATTATTAAAATTACATAAATAAATTAACTCATTCATGGCCTGCATGTGTTCCTTCATTGCACATTGTGCTAATTCATATTTTTTGGTTACTTTGTAAAATTTGAGTACCTGTTTCATATTTAAAACTAATATTATTATATTTTACAGAATAAATGTCCAATTTATCAATTAACTGTTTAATTTAACATTTTTTGTGAGGAACTTTTGTTTTTCAATTAACTTTTAGTTTTTTTTAATATATCTATTATTTTTTACATATTTCTTTAATTTGTTTCTATTACATCCAACAACCCCCAATTTGTTATGTCTACTATCATTAGATGTAAGATCTATTGTTACAATTGGTTGGTTATTGGTTGCAGCAGAAACCAACTCTGAGGCACTGAGTGAGTACCAACTCATCAAATAAGCTGTAATTCAACGAGGCAGTTTTATTGTGTTTTGACATTTCTAAAAGTGATATTGTATTATTTGCATCATGTAGTTGTTTTTCCAGCATGTGAATACGCTGCAATGCTTGGTCATACTCACTTCTACATTGATCAAAGCCATCTACGATGAATTGGAGCCTGTCCCGAGCATCAATAGCATCAATACACTGTTTGTGCAATTCTGCCATTTCGCTCTTTAGCTTTTGTTTTTTTTTCTAAGCTATCTATTAATTTCCTTTCATTTTCATCCCGTTCCTTGTTTAGTTGATCACATAAATCCTTAGAAGCTTTGAGTTCTCTCAAAGTCAGGTGAAGTTTAGACTCCTCCTAACGAGACAAAGCCTTACGAATCATCATATTTATATAAGATTGATATTATTTTAGTTTAAATTGAATTAATGTATCTATTTAAATACAACAGGACTTATTTAACCAAGAATAGCAAGGATATATAGGTATTTTATAAAAAAAATTGCCAAAGTTTTTAAATATTTAATGCTTTTCACACTTTACTGATATAGAATAAAATAATAGTCAAAGTATATCTAACATGTAGAAAAACTTCCTGGAATTATGAAAATATCTTGACATTCAAATACGTGGGTCCCTGTCGTAACTCTATCAAGGGAAGCAGCCGCTGGCGTCGAATGGCCGACGTAATTAACAACTGTTTCTTGAATCGCGATCCGTCACCTCGGTTCCACTTCGAAATCTCGTTACCTAGGGCCAAATTCAATTTTCCACTGGCACCGTGGCAATCGCTAAGCGGTGCGACGTGTCTCCGCTTCGGACAGAGCCTTACAGCTTATAGAAGATATTGGATTTACGTGCTTTAACGAAACTCTTACTCGTAGCTACGTAAGGAAAGAAAAAAATGCTTTATTGTTATCCACTTTTTGTAAGCTCTTTTGTTTTGCGCACATCTTTTGTGATTCATTTGCAGATACTCGATGTGACTGTTATAGTCCGGTCAATAAGACAGAAAAATAAGAGTGAAGGTACATAAATTCACATCAAACTGAAAAACATAATTTAATAAATATCTAAATTCTCCATCGTACCGATACATGAAAAAAAAATATTCGAGGTAAAGAAATGAGGTTTTCGCTATTTTCACCAAAATGGTAAAATTACCTTAAACAAAAATAGTAAATCATAAAATCTAATTTATACAATTCTCGTGTCACGGTGTGCGTAATTAAACTCCTCCGAAACGGCTCGACCGATTTTTGTGAAATTCAATATGCATATTCAGTAGGTCTGAGAATCAGACAACGTTTATTTTACATCCGCCTAAATGTTAAGGATGCTCCAGCATTTTTTTTGACAATATTTTATGGTTTTATTTTTTTATGACACATCATACAAAAATACATACAACCTTAAATTTTTTATAGCGATATGAAGTTCGCTGGCTCAGCTAGTTATCTATAAAAAAGGTATTTATGTTTGTTTTCCTAAGAGCCACCGTTCCTGAGATATAACTATTAAAAGTTGTTAGCGTCATAATATGCACATGTTTCCACATGTTTCCACGCCACCTCTGAGGCAATGTTCTTAGCGCGTATTTTGTAAAGTCGTTTCCCCAGGCCTATGCCACAGGTCTGTTGTGATTCTGTTGAATTGTACTATTAAGCGGCTAAAATATTGATTTCTTTAAGTATCTCTGTGAATAATTTCTGGCTGATAGTTTTGTATATGGTGCGAATTTCTCTTATCTATACTTTGTATTTTACTTTCAGAGTATAGTCAGACAAAATCATACAATCAATTAAAATAAGATGACTTTGTTTTACGTTACCGTTACAGAAAAATGCTTTCATTCTGTCAATTTCTTTCCGAGTGTAATAAAAACAACTATCAAATGGATAAAAACCATTTCAGGACTACTTAACACTTACATACAAGGCAATCTCAATTACCTACTTGATTATGCAAATCAGACACCCTCCGTCGCTGAATATGACATCAGCACAAAACATCATAATAGCAAGCACGACACCATAGGAAGTATGTTTATCAATTCCAAAGTCTTTCAGTCGGTAACTATATTCATTAATCGTTCAAAGCAACTACATTATGCGGAACTAAACATCGGCTCAATTACTGCGCATGAAGAGCTGAAGGTGTCAATCAAAGGTGCTCGTATACTCGTGCGTAAGTTGGTAACAATGACATTATGCAGATTAGACGGCCCACAGCTGTCTCCTCGCTTATATTATTTCATATTCATGAAAGCGTACGAACGATTCGAATGTAAATCTTATTCAACCTGGTTTAAGGTATTACAATTGCTGCTGCCTTTTTTTCAGTCAAACGATGGAAGCAATAAAGAGAAGAGGCCGGCTGGAGGCCGTTATAAATTTAATAACCCCTTTTTAGTCATATGTTCCCAGTAAAAATACTAATGGTGAAAATGTACCCTATTCTTTTTAATAATAAGTATGTTGTTATAATTTAACCAAAATGATGGAGTAGAGTAATAGAACTGAACAAATTTACTCCAAAATTTTACTAGAAAGAATTCCGTTACGAGCACAGTGCCTGAAATGCAAGATGCCACTGCTGCAATATATGCCTAACACGTCTGACTAAAAAGCGGATTGCCTAAAACAAGGAACTTATATTTCCTTGACCTAGAATGAAAGATGCCACTATGCCAATAATAGATTGGCTAAATGATAATAATCTTCAAAGTAATGTTAACAAAATCAATATAATAAATTTTAATAATCTTAAAAATCTTTTGATTAATATTAACATTAACGGACAACAAGTTAAATGGGCAAAAAGTAAGTTTTTGGGTCTATTTATAGATAGTAAACTTAAATAGAGAGACCATATAGAACATGTATTTGGGAAAATATATAAAAATATAGCATATGCTTTATATAATCTAGCAGGAATTACATACCGAATGAGAGCAATTTCAGCATATTTAGCCTATGTTGAATCTTGTCTTAAATATGGACTCATAACATGAGGAAATGGTACGGATATAAATAAAGTATTCATTACCCAAAAGAAATGTATTCGAGCCATTTGTGTCATTGCACCAGATGTTACTTTCAGACCGACCGTTCTTCAAATTATTAAACATCTTAACACTGCCTTGCTTATATGTTTAGAAATGGGAAAACTTGTTAAACAAAACATCCGCCTATACCAGCAACTAAAAGATAATACAAGCAGAAATTTTAGAAATTTTAACACACTTGTATTGAGGTCCAATCCCAAAACTTCTTGTATCAATGGTTATGCAATGGCTATAAAATATATAATAAAGTACCTGACAATGTTAAGCAACTACCCTACAACAGGTTCAGAATGATATTGAAAAATTGGCTATTAGATGGATGTTTTTATTCTGTAGAGGAATTTTTAAAAATAAGTCCTCTATATTAAAATGGATGTCGATTCTCTCCCAGTCAACCTTTGGGAAAAATGAAAAACACGAACGGCGATATAAAGCTAAATACGAATATATTTACAAAATAACTGATACATATATAAATACATACCATGAAAATAATATAATACATAAAAACATAACACACTAATATTTAAATATATATATATATATATTTATATATTATATGTACATATAATATAAACATGATGATGATTAAAAAGTGACACTTCATCTTAAATTTTGCAACAGATGAGCGTAAACATTCCTTTTAAATATAAGTTTAATAGGAGATCGTGAAGGCTTGAAGGAAAAGAGGCTTGAAGAGTAAAGGAGTTGGACATATAGCCTGAATGAGAAAGAGGAATATAGAGAGCTATTGTTTAATTGTTCGGATTAATTCCAGCTGCTGCATTTCGCCATCGTACATCGCGACAAAAATTTCATCCCCATCATCTTGATGCGTAGCTATCCACAACCGTGCGTTTTTGTCGAAATTTTTTACGACGTACGACAAAACTGTGGAATATGTTGTCGCCAGCAGTGTTTTCGGACCAATACGACCCAAGAACCTTCAAAAAAAGAGCGTACTCCTTCCTTAAAGGCCGGCATCGCATTTGTGATACTCCTGGTGTTGCAAGTGTCCATGGGCGACGGTGATCACTTACCAGCAGGTGAGCCGTCTGCTGGTATGCCCCCTATAACATAAAAAAAAATAAAAAAAGCTAATGAATCAGCAGAGCGGAGAGGACGGTCGTGACTATCACAGAGATACTGAAACTTGCATTTTAAGTACTCTGGAGAATGAGGGTTGGAAATAATGGTAAAAAGAGTGCAAAGTAATCTTAACTGCCTGCGCTGGCGAACAGGAAGCCATTTAAGTTGGGATCGATATGAAGAAACATGGTCAAATTTGCGGAGGCAAAAGATGAAACATATAGCATTGTTCATAAGGCGGTCCAATTTATTGAGAAGATATGCATTTAAATCAGGATAACAGACATCGGCATAATCAACGAGAGGAAGAACAAACTCTATGAGTAGTAAATATATCGGTGCGGTAGTATACAGCCAGTAGGAAAACGTAGTGGAAATTCATGTAGGGGATTAAACTGAAAGCGGATTCATAACCCAAAACTCATTTACCGACGGATACTCTACTTTGAGTAATTGAAAACAATCATTTTTTTTACTGCAGTAGTTTTAAATTAAAGCGGGTTCCCACTTAACTAATAAGTAGCAATGGTAATGGAATAATTCTATTATTTTCTGTTTTTGCAATGTGGAACATTAAATGAGATAGTATACCATTGACTGCTATAATAAGCCGCTCTTGGTAGCAATCGCACGAATAATAGGAATCGTAGAAATGTTATTATCCCTCTTTTTCCTTTATTATTCAATGCTCCTTTTTCTGGAATATATTTGATCCTGCTAATTATTCTCGATAAAATGAAATTAGCCCTGGCTGTAACATTCAAATTAGAATTGAAAAGAGCAATCAAATAATACGTCTCCACCCCCCCAACAGATTTGATATAAATGTAATTTCGAAGCGTCTAGTAGGATAGATAATTTTTTATTAAGGTGACATACTTGCATATAATGAACCTTATTTTTAGGCAGTAAAAAATATTATAAATAAACAAACTAAAATATCTCATACAAGACTGTTTGTTGTAGGTGGAGTACACCGTGAAGGAGAAAATACTTTGGACATATCCGCCGATTTGAATGAACTTGGTCGAAGTAAAACTTTGGTGGTATGCAGCGGTGTAAAATCCATCCTCGATATAGGGCGAACGCTCGAGTATTTGGTAAGAAGACCAAACATTTTCAGTGCCTAGTTTTCAAGTTTCTATCGATTGCGTACCTATTAAAAGTTGGATAACTACTTTCTTCTTCATCTTTGGTAAATTTAATTATTTTGAATTTTTGGTTCATTCTATAAAAATACCCATTTTTGTTGTGAAATTTCAAATGAGCGTCTACTACACTAATGATTTTAAAAATCATTTCGCTATTTATCGCCTACATCATCCATTTAGGTCATTAGAAAAATTTATCGTCAGAGATAGCTTATGATACATCTATTCTACAAGGGAGACCAAGCGGGAATTTTTGGATTTACTCAAGCTTGGCAGAATAATAAATAAGTATTTCCAACACTCACACCAATTAACCTAGCCCCAAAGTAAGCCCCACTGTAGACTTGTGTTATGGGATAGGCTAGCGTAACGATAACAATAGAACAAATATACTGTTATAAGTCTGTATACATATATATTCTTCTTCTTCCTCGTAACCTCATGACTAAGGGTCGCGACAGCATGAGGGCACCCGGTGTACCAGCTCCCTCCACGTATTGCGGTTTTCGGCAATATATATGTCGGCGGATGGCGTCTCACTCGCCAGTGTACCATTGCCTTGAAACGTCAAGTAATGACAGTGACAGCTGTCATCACTTGGGAGTGGTCTATGCTAAGGGTAGTGTTTAAGGGGATATGCTTCATTGGAAGGGGCATTCAGTATTAGACGTGAGCCGCGATAGTGAACGGACGTTAGCACAGAACTCTCCGCGCTTCACAAAGCAATCCGTTTGTACCTTGGCAATCATAACTGATTTTGTAAAGTAATAATAAGATTCAAATTAAACGTTAGCTTGGTCACGAGACTACAGTTTTATTTTCGGGAAATATCATTAAATAACCAAGATGGCGGATCAAGAAAAACCACGTGGCCAACCGCTTATATCCCACTCGCCCACTCCGACATATATATAAAACTCAAAGGTGACTGACTGACTGACATAGTGATTTATCAGCAGGAGTACAAATGCTCGTATTCATCACACAAACATCTGCCCCCCCCCCCCCCCCCGGATTGGCGACACCGTGAAACCCGTCGTACATACCAATCAGCCACGGAGGTCGTCTATGACTTAAGGAGGTCAACTCTGCACCTTATGAAGACCTACCACCATACCTGAGCCCTGTATAGGGCCGAACGTCTAGGGCAGCAAAACAAAATTCGCCAAAAAGCCATGACTTTTGGTTTGGTCCAAAATAGAAGCTACTGAAGGGTTCACGAATTAGTTGAAGATGAAAAAATATTGTTCTGCCGGTTTGCACGGTGCGGGGGTGGCCGTACGAAGGGGCAGAATAAAATATTCAAGCGCGTCAGACATTGAGAAGGGATGTTACCTAAACCTTCCAGTAGCTCCTATTCAGAAGACTGATGATTTCGATGCGACTAAATGTCATGGCCGTTTGTTGAAATTTTATTTTCTACCCTCGACGTTCGGCCATACATAGAGGGTTCAGATGTGGTGGGAGTACTTTACAAGGTGCAAGGTTGCCTCCCTTATGTTAATCTGCCGCGCTCGAGTTAATCCAGAAATTCCCGCTCGGACTCCCCCACCACTATCGATGGACTACTAACTGACGCTAAAATTTGCTCATTTTTCAACGTATTCGTTTTAATTTCTAGGTTAAAATACAATCATATGTCGATATTGTTACAGGAAACTCAGGGTGTTTGTGTCTGTGCATATGGTAAGAATGCTGACTTCCCTGCCTTCTATACGATCCGGTCGGGCCATCGAGCGCCATATCATGTTGAGAGCCCCCTACAAGCGGCGCATGTTCTAAACGCAGCACGCAGTCTCGATCTGGCTTCAGGCATTGTAATAGCCGTACCGGTACCTGAAGAACACGCAATGGATGGTATACACTCAAATTTATAAACTATACCTTACCATCTTATTTAGAAACTACTTACCACTACCACTACTTCATATACATGATTCAATTGATTTCCCATATAAACTTACAGCCCCCTTTTCATCACTTAAATGATGATTTCTGGGATAAAAAACTATCGTTCCACGGAACTCAAACTCAAAGAAACTATCATCATCAGCCTATTATGATCCCCACTGATGTAGTACAGGCCTTTCCTATGAATGAAATTGAGAGATTGGGCTATGACATGACCAACAACGCGGGCACAGTGTGGATTGGTGGCTGCTATCGACTGCAGATACCGCCGGGACCAACGCGCCTTTCGAAGCACAGAGGAGGTCGAGATAGTAAATTTTTGGTGACTCATCCGATACACAGCCGAACGCAGTCACCATTAGCGCCATCGAGCTCCTCAATGAACCTATATCTATACCAAATTTAATCAAGAAAAGGTAACAGTCCAGGAACACCAAGCAGCAAATTTAAGATTCTTAAACTGTTAACAGAGGACTTATTTATAAAGCATCTCATTACATTATTCAGAACTTACAGTCAAGTACACGTTCACGAATCTAATTTAAAATTGATAGTTTAAATTACTCGCACGTAGCGTTACAAGCAGTATTCGCAGTGTGGAGGTTATTTATTTATTTATTTATACTTTATTGCACAAAAGTATGTACAAGTGGCGGACTTAATGCCATTAGGCATTCTCTACCAGTCAACCGGAGAATTTTAGCAAAAATTTTAAGGTAGTGCAAAAAGAATTCATCAAATTACTTATTATATTTTTATGTCTATGTAAACAAGATAATATATATATACTACATAAAATAAATATCTATAAAAATACATAAATAATATATATATATATATATATATATATATATATATATATATATATTTAGATATATACATACAAATACATATCATATCAGGAGGATGCGGAGGAGGAATCTAATAAATGATGACGTACGGAGCGTTTAAAAGCCAGTTTGTTCGGAGCATCTTGAATATGAGGAGGCAGTGCGTTCCAGAGTCGTATAGCTTGAAGAGAAAATGAATTGGAAACAAAACCAGTATGGTGAGAGGGAAAAGCTAGAGTTTGTTTGCTGCTAGACCGAAGATTCAGATTATGGATACTGCCAAGATACCGAAATTTACATTTCAAATATCCAGGAGCACATGGATCATTAATGATTGAATATAGGGTGGAAAGAATTCTGAAATTTCTACGTTGGCGAATTGTTAACCAATTTAACTTCTTCCGAAAGGCAGAAACGTGATCGTATTTACGGAGACAAAAAATAAAACGAATGCAGTTGTTGAGCAATCGATCCAATTTGTTAAGAAGTTCTTGAGATATGTCAGCGTAACACACATCAGCATAGTCTATAATGGGCAAAATTACGGATTGAACCAAGAGAATTTTTGAAGATATTGGAAGAAAATTTTTGAATTGGTAGAATGACCGAAGTATACCGATCACCTTACAGCTTATAGCGTCTACTTGTGCTATCCAATTGAGAGAATGGTCAATCTGTATACCCAGGTCTACAACTTCAGGAGAAAACTTTATTGGGGTTCCTTCAAAATAGAGAGACGCAACAGAGCTCATGTCTACCTTCGCCAGAAGACGAGAGCTGCCCAGGATAATGGCCTGGCATTTATTCGGATTGACTTTAATACCGAAATTGCGAGACCAGTCCGAAATTCGCTGAAGATCATCATTTATAGACCCAATGGCAACTTCCAGGTCATTCACCCCAATTTGAGCGTAAACTTGTAAGTCGTCTGCGTAGAGATGGTAAGAGTTGCGAAGAATGGAGGTAATGAGATTGATAAAGACTGAAAATAGCAGAGGAGAGAGAATACCGCCTTGTGGGACCCCAGCCGATAAATCGCACCAATCCGATAAATCACCGCCAGCTCGAACTGCTTGCTGACGTCCAAGAAGATAAGATGAAAACCAATCTAGTTCCGGAGACGAGATTCGCAAGTGGGATAGTATAGCAAGGAGAATGTCATGATCAACGGCATTAAAGGCATTAGAGAAATCAATGAGAACCAAAACCATTAACCGTGACATCTCCATGCCATCACGAACGTCCTCAGTGACTTTTAGTAAGGCAGTTGTGGTGCTATGACCCGGTCGAAAACCAGACTGGTATTGGTTTAGCACGTGATTTTTAGCTATGAAAGCAGATAGTTGACTATGGACAGTAGCCTCCAAGACTTTCGACAAAAATGGCAAAATAGAAATTGGTCTTAAATGACTAGGAGTTGTGGGATTACTTATTTTGGGAAGTGGCAAAATATGAGCCTTGCGCCATGAGTCTGGAAATTCACCTGAGGAAATTGATTTATTAATTATATGTGTGATGATAGGGAGAATACAATCTTATATATTAAGGACCATGTGCCTACTTATACCATCGTACCCAATGGCCTTAGATTTGAGGGACATAATGGTTTTACGAACCTCGGACTCCGTCACTTGAGAAAATTGGAAAATATTTGTAGGTTGATCAATTAGAGAAGAAATGTCTGCGAGAGCATTGGATATATTTCCTAAAGAATGAGAAGAAGTTTCTGAGAAATGTCGGTTGATATCATTGAGAGAAAAAGAGTGAGGAAGAGAAACATTTCTTGACTTAATCAACCCAAGAGACCGAAGAAATTTCCAAATATTTGCAGGAGATGAGTGAAGAATATTATCATGGAAATAGCGATAATCTTATGATTTTGATTTAATCTACTATTAATTTATACAGTTTTCATTCCTTTCTCCCCCTGGGTTTCTCGGTATTCCCATTTAACAGTTATATATCATTATTATGTCGTTTTATTGTTTTTTTATTATGTTTAGCCTACTTTTTATTTTACTTTTGTAATATTTGCCCTACTTACAATTCTGTTGAACTTTGAATGCTTATTTTAGCAAAGCTATGATAAGTTAATCACTTACTGGGAAAAGGATTATGAAGGACTGTTGTAAGACTGTATTAACAGTGTATCTCACGTCACCTTGTATAAATCTTTTACAAGCTAAATAGGATACAAATATTGAGCCACCTACTAATCTTGCAAGATATTTGTGCTCCACCCTCGATTTAATACGCAAGGGAGCATATATAAGTATGTTTATATAGAAATACATATTAAACATCCATGACTGGAGTTATCATTACACAAACAGTTGCCCCTACTGGGATTTGTAACCCGGGCCCTCTCGAGTAGGCGACACCTTGAAACCCGGGGTACATACCACTCCGTCACGGAGGTCGTCAAATCAAAGCCAACTACTTATTCAGTACGTTGCTTGCTATAGATCTAATGGATGTCGTGTAGAGCCGAGAGAGTATTATTATAAATTGCCAGCTCCTGCGGTACCTAGAGGACCACCAGCTGATCAGTGACCACCAGTACGGTTTCCGTCAGAGTCGCTCGGCTGGTGATCTACTAGTATACCTGACTCATCGTTGGGCAAAGGCGATCGAGACCAAGGGGGAAGCATTGGCGGTCGGTCTGGATATCTCGAAGGCCTTCGATCGGGTTTGGCACAAAGCGCTTCTTTCGAAGCTTCCTTCTTATGGGCTTCCTGAAAAGCTGTGCGGTTGGATCACTAGCTTTCTTGCGGACAGGAGCATCAAGGTCGCAGTCGACGGTGCATGCTCGGACTCCAAATCCGTAAACGCTGGTGTTCCACAAGGCTGTGTGCTATCGCCTACGCTGTTTCTTCTTCATATCAATGATATGCTTCAAATTGATGGCATTCATTGTTATGCAGACGACAGCACGGGTGATGCCCTATATACCGGCCGCGCCAACATTTCACGGGAAAACGTCATCGAGTGCCGGAACAAACTTGTGTCTGAAGTCGAAACTTTGTTAAACCGAGTAACGGACAGGGATGAAAGTTTGTATGGGAATTTTTTTCACGCAAATGAGTTTTCTTAAACACTATTAAGTCCCAATTTAACGTAGGTATTAAAACATAGAATAGAAATATTCGCTTATTGCACTTGTTAAATTGATTTAACATTTTCAGAATCTGTGATAGAAAAGGCGATAGAAGTTGCCTTAGTTGAAGCTAAGAAGAAATGTGTCAAAGGCAAAGAAGTGACACCTTTCATATTATCAGCTGTTGCAAAGGTCACCGGCGGTGCTTCTCTTGAAGCCAGTATCCTTTTCAAATATTTTTATTGTTCCGTACCCAAATGGTCAAAATTTAACCCTATTACTAAAACTCACTGTCCGTCTGTCTATCTGTTTGTCACTAGGCTATATCTCATGGATCGTGATAAATAGACAGTTGAAACAAATTAAAACAGAATAAAAACAAATATTTGAGAGGAACTTCCATACAGCAGACGTATGTTTATCCCGTTTTTTGCTCATTATTATAATATAGTGGCTAATATTATTGATAATGGGTACGGAATTCTTTGTGCTCGAGTCCGACTCACACTTGACCGGATTTTTCTCCCACTATTTAGACGCAGTTTTGAAGAAAATGGGAAATCCCGGCGAAATACTACAGTAAGTATTTATTATTCCATTAGTGTGAGTAACAACTTTGTTTGAGCTGCTGGTTGGCGAATTCAATTTTAGTTAATGCTATTATTTCTCACATATAAATGCGGCTATGTATAATAATTAAGTATTTCTTTTTGAAGGTCATAATTTAATTTTACCTTTTTTATCTTAATAATTGTAAAACTGCGTAATTTTTCGTAATAAGTAACAATGAGTGAAACTTTTATTGTACATAATCGTAAAAGTACATTATTTGTGTATTAGGGTAAGTTCATATCGAGACGCGATGCGACGGGATGATTGTGGTGCAACGTATTCTCACAAGAAATGTGTATCTTTTCGTGTAGTAAATAAAGTATATTTTGGTTAGCTCTATCAAAATGTGCGCGTCGCGTCTCGGTGTGAACTTACCCTTAGAGGAAAGACAGAGTAGTATTTATATTAATGGCGGTAACGAAACAACTCAGTCTCATCTGCACCATCAATGGTGCAAATCAATGGTACATTTGGTAGCACGACCAGGCTCGCTACGATTGCACCTAGTTTTCTTCGTTCAAACTTTAGTAACATCTTACGATCAATTTAGAGATTTTAGTAATCACACACACACATTCGATAGCATAAAATTATATATACATCTAAATACTTACATCATCTTAATAATTCACAAGTCGCTGTCTAGGAAACGCCGATAGTCCCCCCATCTCCACCTAACCATACATAGAGGAACATAATTTTTCATAATTACATGTAAGTATATTAAACGAGCTGATACGATCGCCAAAATTATTATAGTAACGAACATAATTGCAGCAATTTCTTTCCTTAACGACTCTCAGACATCGCCCTCATAAAGAACAATGCGAAAGTCGGCGCAGATATAGCGGTCGAATTCAAAAAAGTGAAGAATCTCGACAATTCTATTGGCAATATTGGATTCCACGGTCCGACCAATACTCGTAGATATTTTCATACTTCGTCAGCGGCGAGGGATAAGCTAAACGACGATGGTGAAGATTGGCCTTTTTTCACAAAACCTCAAGACAGGCAAGGTGATATATTAGTGATTGGTGGTGCCAACATGGACAGGACATACCGAGTGTCTGAAAATAAAGTTCAGGTAAGTACTCATAGTGCCTAATATTAACACAGTGAATGTAATAATTTACATTGTCTTTAGAGTAAAATTTTTTTTCTTATAGTTTTTTTATAGAATTCACCTTGTTTTAATTTATAATCATATCATCAACTAATAAATATATTAGGTTTACCAACGAGTAACATGTACTTCTAGTAGAATTTAATGATAATATCTAGTCCGATTTACAGTACTAATTACTTAAGACATACTTTTACGTAAAAATCTACAATGGTGAATGTACCTACTGTTAGGTATTGTTTTATAAGTTCATGCTATATGGAATATACTTAATGTCGACTTTATTTGAAACAAATGTATATTTAAATAAAAACAACATGATTTTAACAAACTCTTTATTTAATGCATTTATTATGATAGTATTAGCTCTCAGTCGCCTAGTGCGTACCTTCGGAAAGTTGTAACAACTCTACTACAGTAATAAACACACGTAACAATGAACACATAAAACTAATATTGACAGTGTAGCATTCAAAACTTTCGTACAGTACATTCTAACGTCCGTCGGTCGGTACTAGCCGCGCGCGTAGATCCCCATCCCCCACTTTATGACGTAGTTTTGCCAAAAAGTGTGCTAAAACTTTGATAGAGTAAACCATTCGTCTTAATAATTCTAGGAACTACGTACGAGATGACACAGATTTTGATGACTGCCCTGCTATTCTGTTGGAACGAACTCACTTTTCCCCACGGAATTCGCCGGTGGGATTTGAAATGATTTTAAAAGTCGTGTCCTAATTTTAAATTACACCGCGGCTTCCGAGGTGAAAAGTGAGTTTGTTCTTACAGAATAGCACCTGAAGGAACCACGTACGAGATGACACAGATTATAATAACTCTGCTTCTGAAAGATACCAGACAAAAAGTATATTAACCTCTATTTTTAGAGTAAGATACAGAAGGTCTCGAGACCTAAGATTAAACATAAACAGATGGTCTAAAGGGTCAGGTAGCACATCAGAGACGAGTAGTAATATTTTATTTTATATCGATTAGTTTACAATAAACATAACATCAGTTATATGATTTTATAAGCCAAGGCACATATTATTTTAACGTCATTTTTTGGAAGAAATGCAGGATTTTTAGATTGGATCCTAACTACAAATTATTCAACTTTCCGAATATAGGTACAAATGTTCAATAAGATTGGTACATTCATGTGACAACAATATTAAAAAACTATTTTTCTGCATAAATTCACAAAATATTATTACCTACTCTAAGCGAACATAATTTCATAATCGTTATTACAATATATCTATAAATTTACGTCGTAATAAGTAGGTACAAATATGTATGTAGGTATTCAAATATTAAATTGATCATACAGCAAGTATATCTCTCTATGTCAGGGATGGGCAAACTTCTTCCTTATTGTGCCAATATTTATTATCAGCATTTATTGTTGGCCACCTAAAATTTATAAATCAAATCAAAATAAAGCTCAGTAACGAATGCCCCTCACGAAGCCTACAGTTCAGCAACAGGGTGCGTATTTACCCTTAGTTTGCTGCGAAGTAAATAGGCTGGTACCAGGTTTGGCAGCGGGGTGGATCTTGTCGGAATATGTAAAAAAAATACTTATGGTGAGTACCTTTTGCGGGCCTGATTTCAACCATTCGAGGGCCGAAGTTGGACCGCGAGCCGTATGTTGCCCATCCCTGGTCTAATTGAACCGCTGCTTTTCTCAACTGCAACTGTGAATTCTACACACTCATGGATTGGTTTTACCATAACTTGACACAGCCATTTATATTCACCTACATTCCATAGTAGTAACGGGCGCAATCTAAACCCATAGCTATTATCTCTGTCTATCTAATTAGCATTACTGTTCTCTCGATCAAAACTAATGGTATCCCAATGATAAAGTGTTTATACGAAATTTTAAATTCACCTGCTTTAAAACGAAACATTAGGTACAGTGCGACAAGAATCTTTATGAATGTGAGTGATACTTCAGGGCTTCACTGTCAACGTAAATGTTATACAAAATATGACGTTTACAAAGACGGCGGCGTTAGTTAAAATTTTCTCCACATCTTAAATATCCTTGTTGCACTATATGTATACGTTTGCGTTATATTGTTACAAGCATATAATTGTAGGCACTACGTCGATAAGCTCATATCAGTACTATTTTTGTCCGTCTGTCCATGCAGTTTCTTGCATACTACACATATACAAATTTATCAATATTATTTACATTTACCGACATTTTGTTGTATTTATCAACTAATACTAAACTAAGATCTTTATTTCGAGACCTAGGTAGTCATTTGGTTATTCATCTCGGTAAATAATCAGGACATTTAAAAATTGTGTTACTAGTATAACACTGGGATTGTTCGAAACTCCTAAATCTATGTAGGTATAGCTATGGCTTCTGGTCAGGATAGATGTGCATAATTAAACAGATGCCATGATACGACTAAACCGATAGTGAAAACTACTAAATCACCAAAAGAGAACTCTGAACAAATGATGGCAATATGATTGGGAAGGTGACTTCAAGCACTTGTTTTTACGCCAGTAAATAATTAAGAAATTATTAAATTATTTTAGTACATAGGCTATTTTGATCTTCCTTACGTATATTGGTTCATAAGTCTATTGTATATATGAATAAAAAGCTGTCTGAACTTACTGCTAAAATAATACAGTCAACATTTAATAAATTGTTATTTCGGTGCAACATGATACTAGCCACCGAAGCAAGCTTCGTGGGGCATAGAAGAACCTCTCATTGGTGGTATTTCACCGCAGTTTATTTCCACATCTGCACATCCACTCATCAAACACATTTTAACGTCAATGCCGTTTCCCTGTATGGCATAACACAAACATTTAATATAAACTCCCTCTATTTAATGAAGTAACTTTTAACTGCCAAGCGTAGGAACTAAACACAAGCTATGCTCGTGGAATTCACATTGTCTAAGTTATGCACACTACACACTTTACGTCTAATTCCATCGCACAGTTAAAAACATTCTTCATTTATAACACTCTAGCACTGATACTCGTCGCCAGTACATTCGGAATTGAACTGCCACTATAAATAAATATAACAGTCACACCGCCGCACGGCATCGGCATTCGAAATTGACAGCGGGTTGAAATACGACCTTCTTGTGACTAAAGGATCTCCCAGGCTTACAGCTCAAATTCGGAGCGGGTGTGGCGGCGATGGTCTAGGCGGACGCGCGCGCCCGTCCGGCGTACGCAAGCGGGTGTGACTCGCGTCCCCGGTAGCTCTGACTCGAATCCGGCGGCCGGGAACGACCGCCAGCGCCGCCCGAACAACCGCTCCAGGTAACATCTTAGTCAGATCCGAGTCGCTGCACTGTCCACTGCTAGCGGCCTGTATTCGCCCCGTGCCAATTCTCGCATTTCGCAGTTGTTGTTGCCATTGACGGTCTTTGGTCCGAGAGGCTCATCGTGCGTACCCCTCCGTGAACAAGCCTCGGATGCGCGCCCCAGCAGTGCCTCCCGCTCGCTCGCCCGCTCTGGGCTGCCAGCATGTGCGCGTACACCGCCATTCGCATTCACAGCGTTGACTATCACAGTCTGTGATAGTGGTCCGCCGTGAATGGGGCTGCCATCCAGTAGTTCTCCTGCACCTATTTCGCTACGTAATATTCTAATTTTTTGGATCATCTCCTTTATTTCGTATCGGAGGATTCCGAGGAAGCACAACTTTAAAAATGCTATCACGCAATACCCTAGCACAAATAACGCGTCAGCTGTCCGCCGTAGCCAAACTAATAGACGCTCCGCACAAGCAGCAGTGTGCGGGGCGCAATGCACAGATGTAAAGGGCACAGGAGATGAAGCTGAGGTGGTGGCGAGCAACGCCGGCGTCACGGCGGATGTGTGGGCTGGGATGCGACAGCAACTCGGCGGTAGAGTCGTGCGGTTGAAAGCTGCGAAATCAGCCGGACCCGTCACACCGCAACAACGTTGCTCCCTCTGAAGGCGGTCCCAGGCCTCGGAGAAGTCCAAATCGTGTTCGTAGTCCTTAGCGAGGCGTACACGAAGCTGCGGACGCAGTTCTCGGCAGACCCGTTCGAAGCGGAATGCCCAATAGACTCCGATCGCAGCGTCGCCGACGAGCAATGCTAACAGAGCGAGCCAATAGGCGTTAAGCATGCGCTCGGAGAGGCGCAGTGCGGCGAGGCAGCCTAGAAGTTGTAGAAGACCAGCTTGCGCAGGCAGAGCCGCGTAGCCGTAAAGGAAGCCGGGCTGGGCAGCCCCAAGGCCGGGCACGAGCGCCCGGCGGTAGTCGGAGAGAGCGCGCCCCGCCGCCGCGCAGAATGCGAGCGCCCCCAGCAGCAGCGCGCCGTTGCACGCGTAGATCCAGATGCGGTAATAGCGCATTGCGCGGTGCGCGGCGGGGTGCGCGGGGCGCGCGGGCGGCGGCAGCGTCATGGTGGCGGGCGCCGCGTCATGGCGCCGCCCGCGCCCGCGCCGCCGCCACGCGCCGCGCCCCACGCCTCTGCAATACACAACACAACACTTATCAATAACATCAGCTACCACGAATTTTGAGTTCGTTAGTAAACAAAAATAACATGAATATTTTGTATATCCTCATGAGACACCCATAATATATCCTGACTTCGAATAGGAAGTTAAAATTAAGCTTCATATGCTTAATTAGGTATTTTACTACTAGATAAACTGTTTTTTTTTTCACCCTACATTTAATTGAATCTCTGCAAATAAAGCAAACAGAGTCCACTTAGCTTTTACTCATTTTGGATTTACGCGCTCAAGATTCAAAAAAATACGTTGTTTCCCTAAATCTAAAATGTGTGTACACATACTAAGTGAATGCTCTACTGCTTCCTTTTCCATACCGGGCAACCTTCTCCAATCCTTTCTTTTGCTTGTTAAAAGCAGTAGTCCCTGAGCCTTTTACAAAAATCATAAATTTTTTCATCATTGTATAAAGTACAAAAGTAAACTTTTTTAAATAAAAATGAGGTTTCTGGGTATTTTTCGATGTTAACAATCAGACATTAAATAAAAGACTCAAAAAAATCTTCCTTTTTGCATAATAATGCAGTTGGAGGTGGTGACTGGAGCAGCGAGAGCTCATCATTAGTTAATTAATGACCCTACTGCTATGGCATGGCACCACAGAACACAGAAAGCACTTAGAAGGGTGGTCAGAGAACGTTTGTGCGGGAACTGATGTCGCCGGCTCGCCCTCACTACACTAACACCTAATAGATAATAGCAAATCAAACGACGCGACATCAAATAATCGAACCAATCAGCGCTCACAGCCGAGAGCAACGACGCAATCAGAACCAAATTTTGGTGAAGTTGTGAGCATTTGCTCATACATAACTGTGGCGCGCCTGCCCCGCCCACAATGCCCTTCTAACCTTATTCTGGGTTTTGTGCATGGCACTTCCTTGAGAAGGACGCGCCACAACCCAACCATACCCAGAGGACGAAACGGCGGTTAATTTATTACTGTATCTCAGTCATTTTCGCAATACTACATGTGAGTGGAGACCCAAGCATGAACTTTGATAGATCCGTTATCATATCGTCATCTTCAAATTTTGTATGGAAGGAGTCAGTTTGTTCTAACGTCCGCTACTTTTTCCTCTTTATTAGGGTAAACAAACAATGCACAGTGTTTTATGGAACCAAAAAAATTTACACCTTAAAATTTTTGCATAAATCAATTATTTATACCCTAATAAAGGCAAGAGTTCAATTCTCAGATCACTATTTCCAGTAAAAAAAAAGATATGAAGTAGCAAAGTTTTTGAAATTTGAGCATGAAAAAATTAACAATTTAATTTCCTCAAAAGACGGTTCCATATCTGTACATGAGATATTTGCCACTTGATAAGGAATTATTGAAGGCATAATTTTGCAATTTTATTTTATTTATAAGTGTCCTAGTTTCCGAGAAATATTTTTTTTTTAAATTTCGATTTTTAATTTTTTTCTCCAAATATCGGCAAAAGTGGAACCTGGATTTAGTATAGAAAGGTTCTATAAGCCAAGTTCTATCACCCATAAAAAAATCAGGTTTCACTTTTGCGGTTTTAAGAAGTTATGACAGAATTTAGATAAAGGTCAACTTTCATGATCTAGGATTGTCACAAAGGTCAACTATGAGTTAAATGAAAATGTTAATTTTTTTGTTTGTTAATTAATACCGTCAATCAATTGAATAAATAAACAACACTTGTGGACGAATATAATATACTTACATATACTAGGTACCTACCTAATGTAGATGTGATAATGTAGGAATACTTTATGTTTGTTCGACCACATTTTAACTTTGTACCTTACACGCTAAACGGTAACGAAAAAATGAACTATGTTGCTTGAAAAAAATTTCAAAATTCATTCAGAATCATTCAGGCATTCGATCAGAAAATAAAAACAAATCTTGGGCATAAATCAGTTAGTAGGTGTAACTATTATTGTTACAAAAAAAAACGTAGAGGTAAGCAGGCATGAACTTGTGTCTAATTGGGTCTCCAAAACACACACAAAACAAACAATTAATAGTTAATACTCAGACCCGAAAACGAAAATCGATATTCATTATAATGACTTCCGCCTTGACTGGGAATCACCATAAGCGTTCCTTTTTTGCAAATAGAGCTTGGAGCCCATAAAAATATGTTAAAGGTACTGTAGTAAGTTCCTAAAATCTACATTATTGTAAACTCGTTCAAAACTAATACACAAATTTATATTTTAAAAATTTTCGTTCGAGGTCAGGTTCGGTGTCAACCCTAGCATAAAAATTTAAAAATGAATATCTTCTAATCGCCGCAAAAGTGACACGTGGCTTATTTATGTATCAGTCTACTCTCCAAGCGACCCGGAACCTATCGGAACTAGGCGTGTTTGGCGATATGGTTCAGCAGACTGGGATGAGATGCGGCATTTCTTTGCATCTTATCCTTGGCGTCGCACCTGCTTTTCTTCGGACGACCCGACTTGCTGCGCGGATGCCATTGCTGACGTGGTGCGTCAGGCTATGGAGTACTTTATTCCATATTCTGACGTACCACGCCGGTTTAGCGCCCACCCTTGGTTTGATGCGGACTGTGCTGAAGCGGAGGCGCTTAAGCATTTTGCGTATCGCTCCTGGGCGGATGCTCGAGCCCGCAAATCACCAAATGTTCGAAGTCTGAAGAAGGCCTTTAACAGTGCCGCCAAGTCCTGTAAAGGTGTTCTCCGCAAGGCCCGCTTCGATCACATTGGCCGTATAGGAGCCAAATTAGCCTCCTTTCCATCCGGAAGCAAGGCTTTCTGGTCCCTAGCCAAAACAGTCGAAGCCAATTTCTGCCGGTCGTCGCTGCCGCCTTTAATTAAACCTGACGGATCGCTGGCTCACACCTCCAAAGAGAAGGCTGACTTGTTTGCCTCTATATTTGCGAATAACTCACAGCTAGATGCTGCTGGCGTAAACCCACCTAAGCTTCCTCAGTGTTCTTCTGCCATGTTGGAAGTTCGCATCCATCAGAAAGAGGTACTAAAAACGCTAAGCACTCTAGACGTGAATAAAGCCAGTGGGCCCGATGGCATTCCAGCTATTGTCCTGCGGAATTGTGCCCCTGAGTTGTCTCCTATTCTGACTCGCCTATATCGCTTATCCCTTGAGATTGGCCAAGTTCCGAAAACCTGGAAGCTTGCCAATGTCCAACCAGTGCCCAAAAAGGGTAGTCGTGCCGACCCTGCCAACTATCGACCTATTGCAATCACCTCCATACTCTGTAAGATTATGGAGCGTGTATTGAACAACCGTCTCCTCGCTTACCTCGAAGATAACGATCTCCTCAGTGACTGCCAATTCGGTTTCCGCCGTGGGCGATCTACTGGGGATCTTCTTGTGTATGCTACCCACTTATGGAGTGAAGCCATAGAGAAACGCGGCGAAGCTCTCGCCGTTTCTCTTGATATTTCTAAGGCTTTTGACAGGGTCTGGCATGCAAGTCTCATTGGCAAGCTTCCTTCATATGGAATCGCTGTCGGACTTTGCAACTGGATTGCAGATTTTCTGAGGGGCAGATCGATACGAGTGGTCATTAATGGCACATCGTCGGATCTGCTTGGTATTAATGCCGGTGTCCCCCAGGGATCTGTCCTCTCCGCAACTCTATTCTTGCTGCACATCAATGATCTGCTCCTAACTCCTGGTATCTTTGGGTATGCAGATGACAGCACAGTTTCGGGGAGATATCTGCCTGATGTGAAGTCTGATGCAGATGTACGATCATTAAGGGAGGCGATGGTGGAGGGAGTGAATGCAACCCTGGAAGCTGTTTCCCTCTGGGGTGAAGCCAACTTGGTTGGATTCAATCCCTCTAAAACACAGGCCTGTCTCTTCTCGACGAAACGGAGTCCATTCCATCTGACTCCGACTTTCCGAAATGTCTCCGTGCCGGTTAAAGACCATCTCGAGCTCTTGGGTATGGACATCTCATCCAGCCTCAGTTTCGGTCCCTACATCGAGTCCATTGCTAAAACCGCTGCTAGAAAACTTGGAATACTTTCTAAGGTCAGGCGATATTTTACATCTGAGCAGCTCCTTAACCTTTACCGAGCCCAAGTTCGCTCCTGCTTGGAGTACTGTTGTCACCTTTGGGACGGATCTGCTCGGTATCAGCTGGATGCACTGGACTCGGTGGAACACCGTGCGAAGAGACTCATAGGCAATGACGCTCTCGTTGAGGCTAATCTTCAGAGCCTTGACCACCGAAGACGTGTAGCTTGCCTTTCGTTGTTTTATCGGTTACATTTCGGAGAGTGTGCGGAGGTATTACATAATTTGATCCCCCCTTCCCCTTTCCACCACCGGACGACCAGGCGCGGCGAGGGCTTCCACCCTTATGTTGTCGAAGTTCCTCCTATTCGCACGAAGCGATTTGCTTCGGCCTTCATTATACGAACGGCTAGGGAGTGGAACTCCTTGCCGAGGTCTGTTTTCCCGGACCAATATAACCTGGACATCTTCAAGGCCAGAGTGAACAGGCATCTTCTAGGCAGGCGTGTACCATCCTAGGCCTCATCATCGCTTTCCATCAGGTGAGATTGTGGTCAAACGCATTGCCTATTTAGCATAAAAAAAAAAAATATATATATATGTGCTCCATTCCTACCCACAAACCTACATAATATATGTATGATTGAAATTCTGTTTCCGTTAAATTATTTTTGAAATACACTCCCGCTCAAAAGTATGGGTTCACTTCTCGAAATTTTCAGCTTCGGTATAAGTTCCATATCTTGGTGGAAAAAGGTCGTAAGAGAATTTAATGAGCACCGTTTTGAAGGGGACAGTTTTAGCTTCACTTTGCCATTTTTTATAATTTTTTACAGTTTTTTTTATAGTCCCCACGCGCTTTTGAGCATGGCAGTTTTTCGATGTTTTTTTGCCTTCTGGAAACGGGCTGTCTGGCTGTTAAAAAATTTGCCTTGCAATTTCATTCATCGCAGTTTCAAAGAGGATATTAAACACTGCATTTTTGTTTTTGAAAAAGTATCGTGCGATTTTTTTTACCAAAAATATTCTAATTTTCGACAAAAATTGATAATTTTATTCAATTCGGCGTATCTTGAAAACGGCGGGTAATCGAAGAAAATAGCAAGGGGGTGAAAAGTTGCAATAGATCATGATGGACCTTGTAGATTTATTTCAGAATTTTTTTCCGACATTTGTTTTTTCATACTCTTGCAGTCGAAATGATTTAAATTTTCTCATGATTTTTTCTTTTTTTTAGACGGCGCAGGCATTTCTTTTATTGGTTTTATAACCATCTTGACGTAATTTTTACTAAAAATCAAATTTCGCACAATTTTTTGTACGTTTTTTTCATTTAAAAAAAATAATTTTTCGTTCAAATTACGTCAAGATGAAGATGAAACCAATAAAAGCAATGCCTCAGCCGTTTAGAAAAAAGAAAGAATCATGGGAAAATTAAAATCATTTCTACTCCACGAGTATGGAAAAACAAATGTCGGAAAAAAATTCTGAAATAAATCTACCATGTCCATCATGATCTTTTGCAACTTTTCACCCTCTTGCTATTTTCTTCGATCACCCGCCGTTTTCAAGATACGCCGAATTGAATAAAATTATCAATTTTTGTCAAAAATTAGAATATTATTGGTAAAAAAAATCGCACGATACTTTTTCAAAAACGAAAATGCAGTGTTTAATATCCTCTTTCAAACTGCGATGGATAAAATTGCAAGGAAATTTTTTTAACAGCCAGACAGCCCATTCCCAGAGGACAAAAAAACATCGAAAAACTGCCATGTTCAAAAGCGCGTGGGGACTATAAAAAAAATTGTAAAAAATTATAAAAAATGGCAAAGTGAAGCTAAAACTGTCCCCTTCAAAACGGTGCTCATTAAATTCTCTTACGACCTTTTTCCACCAAGATATGGAACTTATACCGAAGCTGAAAATTTCGAGAAGTGAACCCATACTTTTGAGCGGGAGTGTATTTCAAAAATAATTTAACGGAAACAGAATTTCAATCATACATATATTATGTAGGTTTGTGGGTAGGAATGGAGCACATATTTTTTTTTTTTTTTTTTTTATGCTAAATAGGCAATGCGTTTGACCACAATCTCACCTGATGGAAAGCGATGATGAGGCCTAGGATGGTACACGCCTGCCTAGAAGATGCCTGTTCACTCTGGCCTTGAAGATGTCCAGGTTATATTGGTCCGGGAAAACAGACCTCGGCAAGGAGTTCCACTCCCTAGCCGTTCGTATAATGAAGGCCGAAGCAAATCGCTTCGTGCGAATAGGAGGAACTTCGACAACATAAGGGTGGAAGCCCTCGCCGCGCCTGGTCGTCCGGTGGTGGAAAGGGTAAGGGGGGATCAAATTATGTAATACCTCCGCACACTCTCCGAAATGTAACCGATAAAACACCGAAAGGCAAGCTACTGTCCCCTTCAAAACGGTGCTCATTAAATTCTCTTACGACCTTTTTCCACCAAGATATGGAACTTATACCGAAGCTGAAAATTTCGAGACGTGAACCCATACTTTTGAGCGGGAGTGTATAAAAATCATTTATTCTAGCCTGTGCTTTTTCAACTATTTTATGGAGAGGGGAGAGGGGGCGCTAATTTCGTCAGGCCTAGGGCGCCCGTTTTCGTAAACCGCCCCTGTGTACATTTAACTTAAATTTACTATTAATATACTTATTTGCCTATTTTACATAAATATATTATATGTAAATACATATTTTATAATACAATTTCTGATTTATTTATTAAAGAGTTTCAAGTACTCCTTTTAAACGAAAAAGTAAAAGAATTTCGTTTAAAAAGAGTTCTTTTAAACGTAGTAACAGGGATCGCAAAAATGACAATTCCATTAAATTTGTCGTTATAAGTCTGGGCAAGCCGATACAAGGAGGATCGTTTGCCTGCATTTGTCAATGAGACGTTTGGCAATGAGATAGACCTACATGGGGTACGACAATGTAGTCTAGTAGAAACTCTGTAAGACATTCAATCTATCAGTGGAATGCAGTCGTATCTATTGTGACATTTCAAGTTGAAGTCGTCTTTGTTACTAAGTTTTCATAGAAACTTTGATGATGTGATATAATAACGGATCTGTCAAAGTTGTTGCTTGGGCTTCAGGTGGTGGGATGGAGTGTTTTACTTATAGGAAGAATGGGTCATGACTCACCATACGGGCCCGAGATGTTAACCATCACCTAAATATGAATATAAAATGGTACATAAATATTGTATTTAGTAAGGCGTTTACTTACAATCCGCCACCCGTGCCGTTGGCAAGAGCCCTGGCTAGTCACAGGAGAGGTCGCGCGACCCGGAGCAGCACACCTACCACGCCCGTCCGAGTTCTGTAACAAACAAGAACTACCCATTAATAAACTATTTGTAAACGAGACGTACCTAGTTGGTATCATTTTTCTGAATCTAATACAAAATTAGTGTATTTCAGTAACTTAGCCTACTACAATGTTTGAGTATGGTACATCCTTTTAAGCAGTAAAATTGCTTGTGTTAGGATGCACCGCTCTTCCATAGCTTGGTTACAACTATTAAATAGCCACCGAGGTCCTCTAAACTCACTGGACTTTTTCCTGTGGGGTTATGTAAAACATGTAGTAAGTATACAAGAACCGGTACGACAGTGTGCAGAAGTTACAAAATGAACTCAGACGTATTATTACAAACATTCACTACGCAAAGATAATGAAATCGACAGACAGATAAAAAATTAAAAGAGTGAGATTTTACATACAACAAAATGGATCATATTTTGAACATTTGATAAATTAAATTATTATTATTTTCTTGCACCGTAACGTTTTAAATGAGTTTGTATTAAATAATTTTATGTAAAATGTTTTTCATTTCATTTCTTTCATTTAAAATGCTATGTTATTTAGCAAAACCTAATCCTTATGATTAACCCTTTCGATGGTTATCATAAAATATGTCGTGATTTTTTCGAAATTACACGAGTTTGAGTCCCAGTTGTAGCAGGCGAGTTAAAAAAAAAACTGTGAATGCAGTTCTATTTATTATAAAAAATAAAACGATGTCCACTTTCAGTAAAATATCCTATCTTCAATATTTAATATACTTTCCCTCCGTGTGAGGTAAGGTCTGAGAATCGGCTACAATCTATTTTTCATACCCCTAATTGATAAGGGTTGTCCACCCCTAACACATTTTTTTGGACTTTTTATTTTTTTATAATGTGGCATTAAAAATACATACTACCGTACGAAGTTCGCTGGGTCAGCTAGTATATATATATAAAAGGCAACCGTTGCTGACTGATCTATCAAAGCACAGCTCAAACCACTGAACGGATGCACACAAATAGCTATTATGATGTGGGCATGCGCTAAAAAAGGATTTTTAAAGTTGGTACGTGAAACCAATATTTCCACGCAGATGAAGTCGCGGGCACCCACTAGTACCTACCTTTAGTAAATCCGTTTCAGTCCCATTTTGCATTCGACGACTAATAAAGTATATATATATATATATATATATATATATATATATATATATATGATTTGTCACTGTCACTCATTAGAGAATTGACGAAGATTAAGCATAAGTAGATAGCGAAACCGAATCCATTTCTGAAAGTTTGTGATTAAGGGTACACAGTTCTTTTGGTCCTATCGATCCAAAATCCGTCCTTGGTCGGATTCAATCAGATGTTGGTCGTCTTATAATGAATTACTTAGCCCATGAAATATTTTCCACGTTTTATTATAACGATATTAAATGTACCAATCACAAAAAAAACTGCTCCGTATAACATAAGAATGGCAATGATGAATCGATGCCGCTGGCTAACAAATAATTCTTCGCAATTCATCATTAATATTCATTAACAACTATTACGCTCCTTCGATAGTTTGCAACGCCCCTGTAAGATTAATAGATGAGGTGGTGAATTAGTCTATTATAGTAATTGGTTATTACGTTAAGTGACCGAAATTTTCAACTTTATTGCTTACGTAATGAGAACATGCGGAAATGATTATTCATTGGGCCCTTCAAACATTATCAGATTGATCACTGCTTATGAGCTTTGCTGCTAAATTCGATAATTGATGAATATTTATAGCACTGACTAATCAATCTGATATTTATAAAGCGATCGCCCGCGACTTGTGGGATTTTCAAAAAAAAGTATCTTACATGTTTTCGGGATAAAAAATATCCTATGTCTGAATCCAGTTCATAAATTATATACACACCAAATTATAGTCTAGTATTTTTTTCTTTATTGAGTAACAAAAATTCAAACAAACTAACTTTCGCATTAATAATATTAGTTAGTTAAGTAAAAAATAAACAATTTAATAATTTCATGTAATAAAGTTCCTCCTTTTCCATGTTATAATATCGATGATGTTACAGTTTGCTGTAACAGCTAACCTTATGGAAAGAAAGAAAATTTAGGTATTTTATTTAATTAAAAATTTTATCCAATGATTTTTTACATTTATTTACCTTTAATTTTATAATCTTCTAAGGAGAGGTAGATCTACATTATTTGCGCTTCGATTGGTATAATAAAATTACTGGTATCTTATTTATTTTTTACATTTCTCTGGTTCGACGCCCTGTACGGACGGGCGACTTTTCCGCCATGTGTGGTGTTTTGGGACATATATTAACGCAACATGTTTACAAAATAAGACAGATAGTGGCCATATATTGCGTTCTATATAGTAACACAATTGTTATTAAACTGTTGTTGGCACAAACATGGGGCTCGTAAGATCTGGTTATTGTCGAAGCTAACACCAGTTAGCGGCACCCGATGTCGACAATATGGCATTGAAAGTGGAGCATCCATGTTCTACACTTTATATTAAATTGCAGTTGAAAGCTCTATCCCCGATATATGTAGCGCCAAAGCAGTTATTGTTCGTAAACGCAGTACACACTGTTACATCAAAGATACAAAAAATATTTGTAAAAAATACCTATAAATAAAAACTGAAAAGAAAATAAACAGTAAGCCCAGTAGTCTAGAATTTAACAGTCGGAACCCATTAAATATTCTAGACTGAACAAAAATTTCCCAATAATGGTGGTTGTAAGCAAATTTTTAAACACATTTCGGAGTAAAAATCGGCTTTTTATTTTTTTGAAAATTTAATGAACTTAGTGTCACACACAATCACGACCTAGTCAAACCTGTCAGGCTGTATGGCGTGCCAAAGAAATTAACATACATACGCTTGAAAACATTACCCTCCTTTCTTCGGCAGTCGGGTAAAAAGGGAACTCATAGCTTAATTACCTCTCAAAAAATGTCTCAAGTGAAATAATGCCACTTTTGATTGCGTTGTTAGGTCTCCACAACGGGACAGGATCCCAGGTTTACGATAAGCAACGTGCGAATTACTGGGGGCCAATCGCCTAACGTGATTGCTATGGCTTACGATTCTATTTTGTTATTTCTGACCGCCGGAGATTTTCAAATGCCTCGCGTTCTTTTGCATTGGTAATAACAATATTAAAGAAAATGAGCATGAGGTATTTGAAAACCTTCGCTGGACAGAAATAACAAAATAAAATTGTAAGCGATAGTGATAGCCATAACAATCTCTTTAGGCAATTGACCCCCTGGTATCAGGACAAGCACGGAATATCCTTGTTTTTTTTCTATCTTTTTACATCCCGACGACATGACGCCGTCCATTAGACAGTGATAGTGCTGTAAATTTGCTGGCAGTCAAAGTTATGACTGATGACTGATGACTAATGATGGAATTAACTGGCTGATGCATGAACGTCTAATACCTTACGAATACGGATACCTTTCGAATCTCAAGCCTACAACACTTTCCAAAATTTCGCTGGCATTTAAGCTTCCACTATCACCAAGGCAAAGTTAACATCTGGTGCATTAGATGTTTTTTATAGCGAGTTAGGCAATGGACTCTACCCCACCTGATATTAAGTGGTGATAAAGTCCAAACGCGAAGATAGCTGGTACAGCAGTTATAAACTGCTACGCCAACCATCCTCACCTTCTTGGCCTACAGAAATCTTTAAACACAGAACTAGACTAGTATGTGGTAGAGGTGGTAACTATATAACGACCTCCGTAGCCGAGTGGTCTGAACGCCAGGTTTCATGGTGTCACCGACTAGAGGGTTCGAATCCCGGTGGGGGCAGATGTTTGTATGATGAATACGAGAATTTGTACTCCAGTCATGGATGTTTAATATGTATTTCTATATAAATATACTTATATATGTACAGTATATGTATTCTATCCGTTACCCTAGCATCCCATAACACAAGCCTTACAGTGCTTACTTTTAGCGGTGGGCGTTTAAACAAAAAGCGCTTAAATAAGCGCGCTTAAAATATTAAGCTTGTAAGCACGCTTTTAAGTATAAGCGTTATAAGCTTTTCACTTAAAAAAGTGCAAGTATATTTTTTACTTAAAAAGTGCAAATCCCGCCATCTATGTCTTTGCCAGGAAACTACATACTTCGATCCTTCTAGTCCACTACAGTATCGAAAAATGGGTACGCGGAATTCCTTGGAACTAAATATTTCACAATATCACAGACATAGAACGCGCGACTACAACGCCGCGTCGTCGTGCCATCTTTGCTTTCGATTGAGGGTAGTCAGTGAAGAAAGTCGTAAATTTAAACACTTCTCGATTTTAAATATTATTTAATTATTTTACAACTACTACTTACCAATTAATGATCATAATTAATTGCTAACATTAATAACCACCCACTGCAGTGTTATCTCCTTTGAAAGTTTGATAAATAACAAAATTAACACACATTATGGAGCAAGTACAGTACACATTAACGCAGCTGATGGAGACTTTTCATAGCAGAATGGAAAATTTTGAGGCAGAATTGCAGAAGACTCAGACTTCACCCAACACCAACACCACCAGCACCGCGTTTCTGTCCAGTGAGTTTGCAGCTTTCAAGGTCTTCATTATGGAATCACTCAACGCACTTCAATCCCAAATTCATATGGTTGCAAGCGCAATTGATAGGCTGGAGATGTATGGCCGAAGAAAGATGTTGCTGTTCCATGGAGTTCCAGAACAAGATGATGAAGATACCTCTCAACTCATTACTGAGGTCATCACCGGAAAACTAAAAACTGATGGCTTTGTACTGGAGGACATAAAGGTATCACACAGATTAGGTCGCTCGAACAATCGCAAAAAACCTCGGCCCATCATTGTGAAGTTTCAGCAAATCAGTGTTCGAGATAAGGTTTGGTTTGACAAATCGAGGCTAAAAGGTACTGGTGTAACTTTGTCCGAGTATTTGACGCAGTCTCGTCGCAGTGCATTCCTTGCAGCACGTGAAAAGTTCGGCATCAATAGGTGTTG